GATCCCCACTGGTGTCTCCTTTAGCTAAGGTAAATCACTGGTCACAACCCATTGCTATGCTCTATTTTTCTGAATTCCTCTGAGCTTTCAGATGCAGTTATTTCAGGAACTAACAGAAGTTCCTTTGAGGACTAATCCTCCCTATTGTCTCAGGAGGTTTGTGTTCAGCTCCCCCTGCAGTCCTAAGCACTGTGTCACTCACAGCGCAAAAGTAGTCAGCAGAGTCGTTCCAGTGAGCAGAGTGTTTCCTCAGGTTGAAGGAAGATTCATTTTTCCTAAATTCAGCCTCAAAACCTTTGATGCCTTTAACCAGAGTATCACCTGGAAAGTACTTGAGGAGAAGCTGGGGGACTTTGTGGGGATATTGGACATACCAGTAGAGATAAACAGTTCCACTATAGGAATAGATGCACCTCAACTCCAGTGAGTCTCCTTCAGAGACAGAGACAGGAACATCAGGCTGGGTCACCGACTGGGCTCTGATCTCTCCTGAAAAATCAATATTGTATTGGTGAATCCAGTGCAGACTTGGCTAAGAAAACTATTTCTATTAAGGTTTGAATCAGAAAATAATTATGTTTCTGGAACTATGGAGCATAATAGAATTTTACTCACTCAGGGCAAATATCATCTCAAGTACCAGGATAAGCAACAGGAGCATGGCTGAGCAGTGGAGATGCTGCAGGCTTCTTTCTGGAAGAGCTTCCTTGAGCAGGCAGGAAAAGTGGCTGCAGAATTGAGCTTTTGGAAATAGGTGTGAGGAAAGTTGGACTGGACAAATCACTTGTTTGAGTAAAAATACAAAATTGCTGAGATGACCCTGAATGCTTTCCAACCTCTGATTCCCCTCACTTGTACCTGTCTTCAGAGAACTCAGTGAGGGTGCTTCAGCCAGCCTGCTGCAGCAAGGAGGGGCTGAGAGGAGGCTCTGATCTTCAACAGAAAGAGGGATCTCTACTCTGTGCAACATCGCCCTCTTGAGGCCAGGCACAGGACCAAAGATCCAGGTTCCCCACAGGAAGTTAGTCTGTGCTTTTCCTCTGTTGAGAGAAATATCAAAAATTTCCACTGAACATGTGTCTTCTTTCCCTAATCTATGATGATGTCACCCCCTGTATTATATGGTATTAATCCTAGCCTCCATGAGAAATGGGACCTGTAAAATAAAGGAATGACATTAAGTCCTTTAGACTGCAGTCCTGTAGAGCCTTTGTGTAAAAGCAGTAGAGCCAATCTTTGAGCAGAGGCAACCATATTCATCATCCTAGAATGAACTTTGGATGGCCTTGAGCTGCTGGTTGCTAGCAGTGAGCATCAGATTGAGAGCTGGATGTGTTAGGCTGGGGACATGATGATCTTGGCTGGTGAAATTAAAAATAAGATCAGACACGAAATACCCTAGAACATGAGCCTTCACCTATGAAAATGAAATAAGCTTAGTTTTGTGTACTTAAGAAGAACTGTGGAGATTCTGTGGCTTAAGATCAAAAATAGTAATCTAATATTCATATAAAGTAAAATCCCATTGTTCATACTCAAAACATGACTGAAGTGTTATACCCAATTCTGAGTACTGCACCATCAAGGCAGAATTGATAGACTTGAGCAGCTACAGACAAAACTGAGCCAACTAATGAGCACATTGCACAGTATAACATGTTTATAATTTTTGAAGGCATTAAGGGCAGAGTACAAATAAATCTACATTAATGCTGAAATCCTAGAAAGAGTGCCGCCAGTAGATCAGAGCTAAGAGAAACTTCTGAGAGGAATAAAAGACATAGGAGCAGTTTGATAACAAAATCTGACATAGCTACTAGCAGTTTTATATGGATGGATGGGTGAAAGGCAGATATTGCAAAATGAGGGTAATGCTGATTGTAACCAAATAGCAAAGTAATTCGGAAAGAAGCCTTTTTCCTTCTCCCACTTCAACTTGTAGACTCCTAGGGTAAAAGAGTAACCGTCACACCAGGAGATCAATTTCAGAGAAAATGAGAATAGAGAAAAAAGCTGCTTTCCCTCTGGCCAATGGGGCCCTTTTTTAAAAGTCAGAATACCTCTTTCCCAGGGCTGTGATTGTTTTTACCAGCATGAGATCAAATCTGTCCTCAGAATCCTCATTTGCTTGCTTGTTTTTGCCCACAGATTGTCTTTCACATATAAGGCCAATATGAAATTGTCACCTTGAGATTTTAAATGTCCATGAATAGTGCTTTTGATTTCAGGTCTTAGACAGTCCATACCTGCTCACTGCCTATCTCTCCAAAATCCCTACTGTTAAAAGAAAAGAAATGTAAACGGGATTAAACCAGAGAGGTGAAAGCCACAGTCAATGTCAAAAGTAAACTGAACATCGACCAAGGATAATGGTTACACAACCAGACTAAGGTAACTGCGACCGTTAAGCTGTACATCGGGGAAAAAAAAGGGGGTAAAATGGCAAATAAAGTGTCTTTAATTTTACAACCACAACAGCAACCAAAAAAATAAAATAAAATTTTAAAAGGCTGTGCCTGTTGATGGAAACCTGGTGGTGCAGTGGTTAAGAGCTATGGCTGCTAACCAAAAGGTCAGCATTCAAATCTACCAGCTGCTCCTTAGAAACCCTATGGGGCAGTTCTACTCTATACTATAGGGTCCCTGTGAGTCAGAATCGATTTGACAGCAATGGGTTTGAGGTTTTTTTTGTTTTGTTTTGTTTTTAGTTTGGTTTGGTTTGGTGCCTGTTGATACTACTTAAGTAAAACTAAATGCTTCATGGGATTAGTTTTCTTGGTTTGAAGGTTTAGGGTCATGGCTTCATGGGTCTTTTCAGTCAACTGGCCTAACGTCATTTTTAGAGTTTCTGTTCTACCTCCTAGTTCAGTGACTAGCACCTGAGGTCTTAAGCTTACAAGCAGCCACCCAAGATACATCAATTGGTCTCTATTCACCTAGAACAGCACAGGAAGTAGGAGACCTAGGAATCAGAGAAGAAAATGGACCACAGGTTTAATTGCCTCCATAAACTATCACCTCCATTATCAAGAGACCAGTAGAAATGGATGGTGCCTGGCTACCATTACTGAACATTTTGATCAAGGATCTATATCAGTAGATGGATCCTTGATCAAAAGGAAGAAAAATGTGGACCAGAACGTCAACATTACATGGAAACCAGACTTACTCGATCCATTGAGCCTAGATGAACCTCCAATCTAATGCTCAGAAATAATCTTTAAACCTTGAACCAAAACTGTCCCATGAAGCCATCATTAAACTAAGCAACAGGTTAGTCCAATTAATAAAGAATGTTTGCCTCAAGCATAGTGTTCTTATAAAGAATTATCTATATGACAACAGTTAATTTACAGCACAGATGAGAATTTTCAGGGACAGAGAGCCTAAATTAATGGTGTTGAAACAATATGGGTAGAGACAGAATGGTACCACAATGTGAAGTATGTAACAAATGTTATTGAACTGTCCATGTAGAAAATTGTGAATGAATGTGTGTTTGGTTGTGTATATTGCAACCAAAAATAAATAATTATTTTTTAAGAAAAGTAAACTATGAGAAGTCTTCAATGGAAATTGTAATGAGTAACCCTGTGGCTTGGAACCCAGAAGACATGGGCTGAGAAAGAACAGGTTTGATGAAAGGTGGTAATGATGAGAGGAAAAGAAAATTGGGACTAATTAAAAGTCCCTGTGAGCAATAACTGCACTCTCCCTCACTTCTGCCCACATCTTGCTTCTCCTCTCAGAAGTACAGAGCACAGTTAACTGAGCATTTATACCAGGAAAAAATATATTAGAAGTAATAAACTTTCTAGTGTGGTGAGGAACAGAGTTTTTAATTATCATGGAATCTAGATTTCTGGATCCACGGAGGTTGAAAATGATCCACCCAAACTACTGCCCTGACATCACTGAACATTAAGCCTTGAGAAAACTGGTTTCATAAAAGTCATCTTTAAGTCAAACAATAAAAAAACAAAACTAAACCCAATGCCGTGGAGTCAGTTAATTAGTAAAGAACATTTTCCTTGGGCACTGTCCTCTTTTAAAGTATTATCTATGTGTAATCAGTTTCAACAATAGAAACTCCAAAGGTCATACTAGAAGCTGTGTTTTAGGGTCAATCAGTAGTTATTCGAATCGTTCTTCAAGAAAACATTGCAAGTCCACAAATTATTATGTAAACACTATTCTGGCCCTGTTTCCATGGCAATGTATAATTACTAGCGATAAGCTGGAGTACAGGAATCTGTGAAAGATTTATTTTCTTTGGAACATTTTTTACTCTGTAGTTGGAAATGTCCTGATTTGCAATCATACCGATGGTACTAAAGGAA